TGTGTTATTCTATATTTTATTAATCATAGTGGACCCTAAATAGTAAACATTCTAAAAATAAATAAATATTTTTATGTCCTAGATAATAACTAAATTTGTTAAAGTAATTATATCATGTATAATTCAAATAATTTTAATACTAATAAATAATTTTTATTTTTAGCTGTACTGGTTAGAACTGCTACACCGCCATCTTGATTGAAGAATCAAATAAGTTAAAATTTAGTTTGATAAACCATTATTATTCACTTTTTGTGTTGAATATATTGTTAAAATTTGGTATGTTTATTGGTAGATAATAATGAATAAAATTGTACAATTTAAAATTTACAATTTTTTTAAAAATATATATTTGATTTGTTTACCAATCAATAGATTACATTTTATTTAGTTGGTTACTTTAAACTGTTTAACTATCATTAACAATTAAATACATCATTTAAATTTATTAACAAAAAAATTACTATAATTTAAGTGTATTGTTACTAAAAGAGCAGTTAAGTTTACTCAATTTGATCATAAGAAAGTTAAAAATAATTTTAATAAAATGTATTACCATAATTAAAAAATTAATTGTTCATTGAAGAAACTAAACTATCTACCAATATTGTGGTAGTCTAGTGAATAACATATTTACTCTTGTATACTGTTATGTGATCAGTGATCAGCTTAATCTATTTGATAGAAAAGTTATATCTCCCATTAATTTGTCTACTTCAAGTGTATTTCAGATCCATACTAAAAAACAAAAGATTGGACTCTACACTTTTTAAATAACATTTTACACTGGTATATTTATTATTTATAAAAATAATATAGGTAGTTTTATGATTTTTAGTGCAAAAATATTTATTGATCTGATGAATGATAGTTAACTGAATAAATGAGTATTTTACATCAAATTAAATTGTAAATACAATATTTATGATTTATACAACATAACAAATACTTGTAAGAGTTAACTATGCTAATAATTATTAGAAAACAATCTTCCATATTTAACTAAGCTGAAATAAGCTTAGAAGACTTTAAGAACTCATAAATATATTCACCTGTACTCCATGGTATCACTTTTGCTGGAGTTATATGTGACTTCAGCAATTTTTCCAAAATGTAACCCAACCTTGGAAAGGCAATATCATTTTTAGTCAATTTCAAAACTGGGCATAAATCGTTTTTACCATCGCCGAAATATAATATTTTATCGTATTTTTTATTTGTATTTAATGCATATTCCTCCACAATAGCTCCTTTACACATATTTGTGGTACACCAATTGCATTTGTGTTGAAAAGTATAAGGTTCAATTTTAATGGCACTATTTACAATTAAAGCTGGATTTGTGTAAATGGATGAAACTATATCTGATAATTTATTGTGTTTTAACCAATTGTCAATAAACAATGAATTTGAATCGGATGCCACTATGATATCAACATTGTTTTCATAAAGCGTTCTTATTAACTTTGGCATACCATCATTGGGCCTCATTAAGGATACRACATCTATTATTTGTTCAGCTGGAATTTCAATAGTTTTTATTATATCAAAAACTCTTTGCATATATTGAGTCCAATTATTTGGGAAATCTTTTCTGTTTGGAACAAGACTGGTTGGATTTATTAAATCTATAGCAACTACATCAGAATTGCCATCAACTATTGTGTGATCGAAATCAAAAACTGCCAACATATTTTCAAGTTCCTAAAATAATATTAGACATGTCATTTAAAATTATTTTTAAACATAAAATTATAATATAAGGTGGGTGTTATGAATAAGTTATAGTAGTGATGTTACTAGAAAATTCTTTAACCACATAACTAAAAAGAAGAACATGATAGGGATTTATAATACCATGAGCGTCTCCATACATTTTTCTGAAGGGGAGGAGAGTAAAATTAATTTAAAAAATAAATTAGATATTTTTATATACTTAATGCTTACATTTTAAAAGTTATCAATGTTTACAAAATTGGCACATTACAGATAATGCTTTAGAAAACAAGTTTTAAATTCTAAGAGAGAATGCTCTGTTTTGCCCTTCCCAGGGGACGCCCATGAATAATATTATGTGAAAAAACAACAAGAGTAACGTAAAAAAAATTGTGTTTATTTATATTTTAAATTTACAAGAGCATTTTTTTTATTTAATTAGTGTAGCTGACATGCACGTATCGCAATGAGTTGTAATACAATGAATATGGGGGACATAATTTCTGAATAATCTAGATTTGAAAGTCCTGCTAGTCTTCTGCAAAGTAACACTTTAAATAAAGACCAAACAAATAATAAGGCTGATGACCAAACAGTTCTTGTAACAGCTTCTTTGATGTGACCTTCAATGTAGAGACGTATCAAAACAATGACATTAAAATATGTGCATAGCGCGTCTGCTATAAATAAGGGCGAAAACACTATCCATATATCATAGGAACCTGGTATAGTTGATGCAAAAGCGACATCATCTAACCGTAGTGCCAAAAAAACTGTAAAAACCAACAGGGCAATAAGATGCACTAACATTTCGAAGACTGTCAGCCCCAACCATCTCACCAGCTCTTGCAATGCGAATAACATTTTTACTTGGTTATTTTTATATGTATTGAAGATAGGGAACGTGTTCTCGTTTCATAATCATCATCTTCATTAAGTGGCTCTAAAATATCTAAAAACAAAAAATTATTTAACAATATAAAATAAATATACTCTGTTTAGCAAGAGAACATGCCTCGGTTCTTTAGCACCCTGTCACAAGTGAACCGCAATTTAATTGGAGAATCTGCATTTTTTCAAGCTTAACAGAGTAATTATGGAAAACCATATAAAATGTTATTTTTTCACACAATATGTTTTATAACATACCTTTTATATCAGCTGTAGATGTTTGTATATCCAATTTGATTGTGTTGTGAAATTTTTCTTGAAGCTTCAACGCAACATCAATTGTTGTGTTGATGGCTTTTCCAAGACCATTTAATATTAAAACTGAATTATCTAACTCTAGATGTTTGRCAGCTCGTGTTAAATGACACTAAAAAATTTTAAATTTAATAACTAAAGCCAAATATGTAAAATAATTTAAAGTTGATAAAAAAATGTTATGTAAAAATAATGATTAACATGAATTTTTGTATTCTAATTTAATATTTTAAATTGACACTATTTTATTATATTGATTTATTATGCACACATAATTTTAACAAGTAAATAATTATAACTTTAACAATAAATTACCATGATAGTATAAGCACATTAGTTATAACTATTGTTTACAATTATGGATTTCACAAAATTAAACAGTATTGCAACTAAAAAGGGATATATAAACTGATACGAATATATACAATATTTTATTAGGTTAATAATTGTTTTATCAAACTAATATTTAAACAAATGTGTTATTAATATTTGTTTAAAATTAAAAAAAAATATTTCATGAATTTACTTTTCAGGTAGTGAGCATATAAGTGGCTAAATATAATAATATGAAAGATCAAGTGTAATTTTAATGTCCAAAAAATAAAACAAAAGTATTGGTAATAATTGTTGATTTAGAATTCAATACTATCTAAGCTCTAGTCAAATACACATTAAAGTCTTCAAAAATAAAATATTCATCTATCTAATGCACAATGGTCATGTGTTGGTTGTTGATTTTCAAGCATGAGTGTTAGTAATAATGTTCTTCATGACTTTACATATTGACTACTAAGTACCTAAATACATACTATACATTATAATATATAATTACCTGAACGGGTGTTTTTGATGAAACAAATAGTTCTTTCACCAAAACTGATTCTAATGTTGATAAAGAGGACATGGAAAATTATTTTAAGAATATTAGGTTCTACTGTTCTAGAATTTACTATTTATTCAATTTAATCATAACTCTTAAGGTTTGCCGTTAAATTAATGTTGATTTGTGGTATCACTATTCACTGGAGTCTTGAATGTTAAATGGCGATAGTTGGTTTTACAGTGGTTTACTCGTATAGTCGTATATCAAGTCCACAAATAAGGAAAGATTAAATATAGGAAGTAAATACTAAATACTGACTAATTCTCGGCCTGATCGTTTGATACTCAGATTCAGAATTCAGATCACGAATCACGATTCACGATTCGACGATTTACTATATAGTAGTTGACGCTACCAATAATACCCATAACAAAACCTTGCATGCTTTTTGATTCACAGCTGTTTAAAATGTATTTAATCGCATCACTAATTATTGATAAGATGATAACGTTTAGAGAACAAGCCATAAAGCTTGATAAAATATTTTATCATACCATAAAGTAATACTCTATTGAACAAGCGAACTATTTTTATTTTTTTTTTTTATAAAAGAACTTCTGAGGACTGACTACAGATATTATAAGTATAGTATATTTCTGTAGTACTRACTGGCGACTGCTGACCAATTACAGTCAGTACAAATCATAAAATTTTAACACACGGATACGGGGTAGTAGGTTTGTTTCTAGTCGTCTGAAATTTATAAGTACGCGTGTCTGACCATTATTGACATTCATCACTCGAAATTATGAGCGGTAGAGGTGGGCAATTCAGATCATTTGAACGATCCGAATAATTTGAATCGAATCGAATCTACTGATTCAGTCCGTAAGAACGTTAGCAAACTGTTAGTGGCTGTATATTGCTGTAACGTGTCCGCTTCAGCACTCGAATTTGTATTGGAGGTATAATAAAGATACACGGATTTACATTAACATAAAGTATTTTATTAATAACAGCTAATCACTATATTACAAGTACATTGTCGTCTCGTATCTAGTAATCGACTCCCCGACTTACTCTATGACTTCCCTATTTATGCTACGTGGAGTCCTATTGTAATCATGACGTCCGTCTAATCAAAGGTGTATGCTATTTCCAGTTTTCACCTTTGATAACGCTATTTCCTATAATCTGGTTATTTCCTATGTTCTGTGGTTATTTCAAAGTCGACGAATGTCAGTGAATATAAATACATAACTATATCAATTATTTTACATATTAATAACAATAATGAGGATCATTACAATATATATGTCGTCGTCTGCCGGTGTCGTGACTGGGTAGAAGATGGCAAAGTGATTCTGCGATTATATAGTCGTCACTACCCACGGAATAAGATAAACAGGAGTACAGGACTGTAAATGATCATCGAGTACTTAATTAATAATAAGTTTTATGCTTACAACAGTAAAGTTAAACTTGGTAAATGTTAATACAAACCAAAATACTCGTTCAATTTATGACTTAT